TTCCTAGCATTCTAAAGACGAATACTGGAAGAAGAATAGGAAAAAGTATATAACACTATTCAAAAGCACCTATTTAATTTAAAAGCCCTCATTCCAGTGCAATGGGCCAGGTGGATTTGACTTGAAATTGCTACACAAGCAAAACTGGAAGAAAAGTAACCTTAATAAACATATTCAATTCAACTGAACTTTAAAGATTTTTTAAAAAATTATTTACTATTCTGATATAATGAAAATAATACTAGTAACTGTTACAGATAATTACCACACAAATCACTCATAAATGACGTGGTAATGTCACACACTTGTCAATATAACTTATATATATATTCTCTATATACTCCAAAGATCCATCCTCATGTTTTCCAACAGCAAACTGTAAAGATAAGGTGCATAAGTTCAGAGCGATTTTTCTCCTGTGGGCCCTTCCACTTTCATCACTCAATAGTTTATGAACTTCTTGAGCATCAGCTGGCAGTAACATCTGTTCATTGGGCCAACAGCTTTTGCTGAACCTCTCCTTCACAAATTTGCTCAAAACTTCTGTGAATCCGCTGTCATGGTTTAACCCCAGTCAGCACTGAAGCACCAAGCAGCTGCTCACTTACTCACCCGTCCCAGTGGGATGGGGAGGAAAATAAAAAAAAAAAAAGTAAAACTTCTGGGTTATGCTAAGAACAATTTAATATCTAAAATTAAAAATAATAACAACAACAACAACAATAATAATAATAATAATAAATATTATAATAATTGTAATGAAAAGGAATAGAATAAAAAAGAGAGAGAGAAATAAATCCCAAGGGAAGACAAGTGATGCACAATGCCATTGCTCATCACCCACCAACGTCTGAGCAGTGATCTGTGCTCTTTTAAAAACTGTGGTATGCACAGTCTAAAAAAATTGGCTTCCTATTAATTTGCAGGTTTTCTTTGGGAAAAACTAAAGAGAAACTTAAGACAATTCTACAAACTTACTCAGTCAAAAACAAGTTTTAAAAATACTGCAAATTTCTTATACATGTGTTATATAAGAATTCAGAATATCAGCACCCCCTCTGACAGTTTGAAGGTAAAAATTTTGTATTGCAGGTATGATCAAGTGAAAAAGCTATTTCAGCCTGCAGAGAAATTGCAGCATCGTCTTGTACTTGGCCAGAAACATTCACAGAATCAGCAGTATTTTAAGAGTCCTCAGTACACTATATATATTATAACCCTCCAGTTTTCCATATTCAGGTAGAAGTTGTAGTAAGTTACTATAGAACTCCTCCCAATCTGCACTAAAACCCAGAAGCCAAGCATGCTATTTCAGAATCTACAAAAAGCAAGATGACCCAGAAGACGGATCCTTACAAGAGTGACAATGGTAGCATATATATAAATACAGACCACTTTGGCATCCAGCTCTGACTCTAGGTCTTTCTTGCAGACAAAAGTACAAGTTTCCAGCTTCTTCCACTTGATGGCATAGATATTATGAGCATTATGTTTATGTGTTCACTAAAAAGGTTGCATGTTTTTTCTGAAAAGCAGTGGCTGTAAATTCTGTTCTGTTTTCACACAAGATGTATTTTGCATCTCAACTAATGGGAGACCATCTGGAACAGCTACACAGTATAGCATTTGATGTATACTGTACCAAAGGATCATATACAATCATACTTAATAGTCATACAGCTTAATGATGAAAGCTCAGTACATCTGACGCAATCTGAGGTATAAGCTTCTGGATTCTCTCACAGCACCTATGCCCTTAATGAATTCTGGCACAGTAATAAATATACACAAAGGACAAAAAAAAAAAAAAAAAAAAAAAAAATCAAACAGTTGTAAGTATTTCTATATAGAGGAAAGAGTACTTTTACATTCTACTTGTCTAATGTTGCACTTTAAACCCTCTAAGTATGTGAATTTTGGTAACCACTTTGATAACCTTTTACTAAGAGTTTTCAGAAATACATTATGAAATAAAGACTGGAAAAGCCAAACACACTTTTAATTAATTTAGAAGTATTCACATATCAAGAGACAAAACAGCCAACATATAACTGTTTCCAGGATTAGTACTACAGAGTATTTAGAGATGCTGTCCTTAACTGTTACAAAGGTGTTTTTTTTTCTCCTTCAAATTACAGCATGAAAATTTTGACATCTAAAAATCACACTTTCAGAGCTAGGATATTATACCTTTAAAGGAAGCCTTTCTCCCCATACCTACATAACATATATCACCCCCTTGTTATGCAAAATTATAAACTGGTATTTTGACTGCTAGATGGAAGTCAGATTTTAAATACATAAATAGTAACAATGAATGAAAAGCTTTCTTTCAATGACTAGAGATGGGTTAAGTGTTTTCTTATCAAAAACTGTGAATAGAAACATACATTAGCATCAGTTCCTTGAGGCAGAGATAAATAATAATTGTTGCCAGGATACACTATACTGTAATTTCTCTATATGGTAAAGAAGCCAATTCTGCATTCTGGTTTCATAGAGAAATTTGTATTTACCTTTTATAAAAAAATGTCCTAGCTTTTGTGAATTGCTAAAGCTTTAGCCCAATATTCAACTCTTAGTTCTAATTACACATTCTCTGGGCTAACAAGAATGGTAATGCTGAGAGGAGAAGAAAAACTTTCTCTATCATTCATTAAGGTTCCTTTTTAGGTAGCAAAGAAAAAACAAAAAAATAAAAAAACATTGGGTCTAAAGGGACCTGGAAAGGGTTCACTGGTCACAACACAAAAAACCCAAGCTCATATAGGATCAGGATATTCTCTATTTCTATCTAGCTTAAACCAAATTTTAATGTATTCCTATTACATTTTGAAATCATATATCTAAGTCACAGACCTCCAAACTTTGCACTTACAATTTCATTTTATATCCATTAGTTACTGCTGTTAGGTTCACACACAATGAGCCCAGAGACCCCTGTGTTGGCAGACCTGTGTTCAGAGGTTCCAGTGCCTTTGTCTCATAAAGCATGACCCTGGGCATGACCATGACCTCAGGCCAGGTTACTGTCTACAAGGTATGCTGCCAACATGCTTGTCCCAACATGGTAATCCCAATGTGTCTCTGACAATACACTGGCATGCAAACATGACCCAAAGACCACTACAAAGCCTACAGTTTCCAGTTCCCTTTTGTTTTTCCCATCAGAGAAATACATACAAAGTAACATCTGCATTCTCATTTGGATTTTCATACTCCAGCCCTATCACAGGGCATCCTGCCACCCTGCGTGCAGCTTAGTAAAGACTCCTTTCTCCATTTTCACTTGTCCATAACCAGACATAATAGCACATTCTCACATATGCTGCTGAGGGGCAACTTTTATAAGGCCTACTTTGACAAACACTTTAGCAAAGCAGTTATCTGAGTACACATTCTAGCAAGCCTTCCAGCAAAGCTTGAATTTACATGCATCATTTTTCACATGAGAAAGGGAGTTGCACACATTTAAATGCATACACATCCAAAAATGTAATTCCCAATTACAAATTAATAGAAATTTAATGTTTTAGTGTTGATATATTATACCCTGGGACTGTCCAGAATCTCTGATAATGAGGGCAGGGAATACTGCACCCACCAGATGAGAGTACCTACAGCAACCTCAGCAACAACTGCTTTCATCTACTAATCTGCTTCTTTTGTGATTCATTACTTATTAATTCAGACAAAGCCTAAAATTACATTAAAAACCCCCAGAATTACATGCACTCAGAAGTAATTAAAAATTAAAAATAATAAGCACAAACCCAAATGCAGTTCATGTCACTGAACAGTATTATAATTGCACAGGGCTATCCGGGAATATTCTGCATTCTTGTCACATGCAAAATTGTCTCAAGTTGAAGAGTTTCACTTAAATTTGTTGCCAATTACAAAAGCTTTAATTACTGATTTGGGTATTGAGAATACAAATAGTCATACACACAGCCAAAGAAAACACTTTTCCTCCCTCTCTGTCTGAACTTCGCTTTAGACACCTGTCTCCTCCTTTCTAGTCCCCAGTCTCCTTGCTTTTGCCATTATTTTACACTCAGTCCCTTTGATAAGGCAAAAGGTGGTGCAGGAGAGGGGGGTTATTGCATAGTGGCTTGCTCTTTTTGCCTCTTCTTGTTTCTTACTCCTTTCAACTACTTTAGTGTGGGTCCTCCACCAGGCCGAAATCCCCTCAGAGACTGTACCTGTCCAGCATGGATTCCTCCGTGGGTTGCAGTCCCTTCAGAAGTGTATCTCCTCCTGTGTTTTCTTTTGTGTGTCCTCACACATCTCTTTCCCTTCAAGCCTACTCTGTTACCTCTTCCCGTATCTCCATCTGTGCACCGTTTTGTGTCTCCTGCACCCCATTTGTGCCTCCTCACATCCCTCTTCCTGTATCTCCATCTGTGCATCCTGACATCTTTGCGTTTCCTCCTCTACTCTGGTGTCTCCTATCCCTAGTAGCTAGACCTTTCTTAATTACATTTTTGCAGAGGTGCCATATGATCTTTTGTTTGGTTCCAATTTCAGTTGTGCAGTGGGTCTGTATTGTCCTCTCTGTGGAGCTGGCTGGAAACAGCTGTGCCCAGCACAGGGCACTCTGTGATCGCCTCCCATACAGGTCAGTCCTGCAGCCCCTCCTGCTATAAAACCCCTGACATTTATGCCACAAAACTCTAAAGGTGGAAAAAAAAAAAAATTTTTTTTCTAAAGCTCAGCCATAATGATGTATGGAATAAATCTCATGAATGGCAATGGGCATTGACAAAAAACATACCTTGTCATCAATACTTGACAAACAAAAATAACCTAGTTTTATACAATTAATCTCTCATAAAGAGCTACTTACAGGTTTATTAATATTCGTGAGAGATGTATTAATTTCTGAAGAACAGGCCCTAAGACTACATCTGTGTGTTTTGTTACATCTACCAGTACCAGATTATGAACTTTGGCTGGGAAGACTATATACGTCTGGAAATTAATTGAATTTGACTTACCATAACAGAATCAAGTTTTTGCTTGACCTTCTGCATTCTCATTGATGCTCTTGCAACACTAACAAACTGATCTGCCGGAGACATCACTGAACCTTTTTGTATGGGAATTTCAGAAAAACTGCTAAAGAACTGTGGCCCTCTTGGTGCAGCTGTGGTAAGTGATGAAGAGAGATCTTTTACGAGTTCAGCTTCCTGTTGTGCAACTGTAGAAATAACCAATATTAATGCGTCAGGTGAAGCCTTACGTTGCCATGGGAAAAAAAATATTTGAATAATTGCTGTGATTTTGTCAGCCATGTCTTCAAACACCATCAGAATCTGTACTAATAGTGCTATATGGAAAACCTGAAAATGACATGAAATTTTCCCCATACTACCCTATTTCCCCCTAACTTTTCCTGATGACAATGTCCCCCTTCTGTTACCTGTGTTCAGTAACCTCTCACACAGAACTGGTATTTTTGTATTGGTTATAAACAATAGTGTTCTCCATGCAGAAATACCGGGGGGGAACAGGGGGGTGGGAAATGAATTTTTCAAAGGCAAGGAAGTTATAGAGCTTGTACTGAGTTCAAGTCTGCTGTTTTACTAGGTACTTTTCATGTTTTTTCCAGCCTAGTTCAAGTGAACTTATTACACTTGAGTAAAATTTCAGAAGTTTCTATACATATATACAGGCACAGGAGGCATTCTTAGGAGGTAGCCTGCTCTAGAATAGGATACTTTTGATGAAAGTTGTGCTCACTGCCATTTAAACAAACTGTTTGACTTTTGCAGTTTTTTGTACTATAGTCTCAAGCGAACAATGGCTAAAAGAATTCTTCATGAAAGTTTTGTCCAGGACATTGATAAAACTGTTGGTTTATGTAAAACACATACTGTTGGAGTCTTAAAAACTGTGTCAGTGACTAAAATTAGTATTACTATATGATTAACTCTTTCAACAATAAGGCAGTAAGACCATCTTCTGAAAGCCAAGTGTGTGCTTTTAACCAAAAAAGGAACAAAAAGTTACTAACAGATAATTTAGAAAAGACCACAAACTATGCAAAATCTTACTGTCACCAGTGACTTAGTTAAGCAGTCAAATGATACAAATAGCTACCATGGTGATATCTGTGTGATCTCTAAATATATATACACGCATAGATATATATTAAACTACCCTACTAGCTTTTTAAAGACTCACTGTCTACTGAACCGTCAAAAAATTCTAAAGAAAACCTTCACCCAAAGTTTTCCATTGCTCTCTAGAATGCAGATATCTTACTGGGTTAAAGTTTAGCACTGGCTATTGATTGTAAAGTCATTCCACTTTATTTTTCTATAAAAGTCAACAATTCAACGGACAAATAACCTAAATTGTAAGATTTGATAGGAGTAATCTTATTACTACATGTTATTTAAAAAGCAAATGTATAAAGACAGAATTAGGTTTATAAATCTATGTTCACTGTAAATATAATTCAAAAATCCGTTACAGATATGCAAAATTTATTTCATAATTTATATTAACATTATCTACTATCTAGTTGTAACATGACACCTGAAATTATGTCCTTAATTGAAACAATGACACTGCTAAAGCTAACCACCAAAACACAAGTATCAGAAAAGCCTGAAAAAAACAGTCTGAATTTTATTTTGTATGTAAAAAAATAGAAGTTAGCATTTATCATTATCCTCTCTTTAATATGACATGGGGAATAAACATCTCACATAATCACACCACAGATGTAACACCTGTTCATTAAAACAATCTATACTCTCTCATTCATTTCTATACAACTCCTCAACATTATTTTGTAATATAGTCAGCAAAAATACTGGTATTTCTATATGACATACAATAATAACACATTTAAACTTGAGATTGCAAGAGTTTTCTGGTGATTGGCTAGGCCAAAGTCCCTGCTCAAACCAGGGCCACACAGAGCAGATTGCTCAGGGTCATGTCCAGTTCAGTTTTGATATCTCCCAGGATAAAGATATATATTATCATCATAAATACTAGCAAATCACTTCTAAAAATAAAATATTTACAAGTCTGTATCAAGAAAATTTGTACAGTACCTTTATAATCATAAATGTATACAAGTATAGGCTGGTTTTGGCCAAAGGCACAAAATGACACCATGTGTTCATGTGGATGAAAGGCAACATCACGAAGCGGAGATGTGTAGGAGAGTTCAGAATATATGGCCACCTGATCTCCTACAGAAGTGAAGTATGTTTATTAATACCATGGAAACGTATTTGATACAGCAAAATAACAGTTGGTTAAAGCTTGTATTACTACACTGCAGTGACTGCCACTGTAAATAAATATTCTTCAGTCAACTTCCTTATTGAAAAGTAATATTTGGCATAAGACAAAAAACACTGCATGCTTTTAATTTATTCAATAAGTCAGAAAAGTCAGTGCTGTTGCAACAGCTGCAGGAAACTCCAGGGGATGCATTGGGCTAGCTGAGTTCTCTTGTTCTGGTAAGCAAGTTCTGGAAAGGTGGCGTTCCACAGTATTTGTTTGTGCTTGCATTTTGCCAGAGATATAATTGAAATCCACAACTAAGATAGCTATAATACTGACAATAGGAGTAAATTTGAGCACAAAATTATTTTAAAAATAAATAAAATTAGCTCTTCAGCTGATGGCACTATAAATGCAAGTACAGCGTGTAAGCAGCAGCCAAAGCCCAGTGAAAACATAACAAAGTTCCTCCCTCCTTTTATTCTTTTTTAAAGTTTTCAGACAAATTACGTAGTGGCATAGATATAAGCTAATATAGTTGGAAACGTGGAGAGAAATTCAAAACAGAACAGTTATTCAGCTGCCAGTTTTAAAATACTTACTTTTTCCTTTTAAAAAAATTATTTAGATTATAATTGGAGACTGAATACAATGTCATCAAAACCAAAAGGTGTATTCTGCTACCTTCTACTATTATTTTTGTTCCTTTTACATCATTGTATAATGACGATGACAAACTCTTTATTTTACATTTGCTTAACATTTTTTCAGAAAGATTTTGGTAGCTACTTGGAAACTACTCAGTTTGGAGAATAATTCATGAAGACCCCTTATATTCCAAAGGCTAAAAATATTCTGTCTCTGACCACCCTTAGGAAAGAGATGAAGTGGTTCTCAACAAAAGCTTAATTCCCAAATAAAAAAAAAAAAAAAAACAAAAAAAACCAGGAAGACTAATGTGACTTAAAACATTTTTGTGCATTTCATTTTAAGACCCTCATCCACATGTAAAGAATTGCAGTATACAAAAAGCTGAGCTTCAGGTGCTCCCCTCGTGCTGGATACTACAAATGCTACCTCTGCCTATTAATCTTCTCTAGAGAATAAAATCTTAGAGAGTAACAGTAGCTATTTAAAAAGTGGAGCTAAGGCTTCAGGATTTACTGAAGTTTTTATTCTGTATCAAAGGTGTTTCAGTAAAGCTTAAAAACCCCTTTCCCTCATAGCCTTGACAACCTGGCTTAAGACCATAAAACAATTAGTTACCTGTTTCTGGATTCCAAACATAAGCCTTTCCATCTTCACTTCCAGAAAATAGGAACGTACCACATGGCGTTAAGGTGCTGTGAATCTTTTCTCTGTAATTTGTAGCACCTATGTATTTCTTTGTAGCCAAGCTAAAGATAAGGAAGGATTTACAGATGTAGCAGATACTTTCAGAACAGACAATCCAACTTCTTCTGTGTCAGTCCCTCCCTCTATTCCTCAGAAAAATCAATACACCTTGCATCCTAAATAGACATGAAAGCACCCACCTTTTGCAGACTGCAGTGTTTACCCTTTCTTTTCCCTGGCTTTCATAATGTACCTGAAATTATAGCTGAAAGTGTACATCCTTGTTTTTCAGTAGAATATGGAGACACTCAGATCTAGAGAATGGATATAGTTGTAGTAATTTGCATTTTCTTAATGCTGGGCTTTGCAAAAAAAAAAAGGGGAAATTGGCACTACTACTCTGAGCTTTGCCAAAAAGGTTTTCATTATGCTTCCTGAGCTTGATTACATTCCAGTAGTGATTAAATTTATCCAGCAGCTCTCTTTAGTTCTTCAGACTAACATCTCCTTGGTTAGAAAAGCAGCAGTAGACTCAACAAATTTCCGACATCAATGCTGATTTACTATTAACATTAATATTTTTAATATTATCTGCAACTTAGGTATCCTAATCTTTTTTCAGTGAAACACTACTGGTTAGCATAGTAAAAATTACTTAGTAATGAAACAGTTTGTAGGCATCAAGTAGAAGAGAATCTACAAAAGGATTTAAAGAAGCATAAGCCAGCTTCTAAGAGGCTCCTCAAACATGAGGTACAGCTCGGAAAGATGTATGAAAGTTCAAAACAGAGACTAATACAGCAGTAACACTAGAATGCAGAATTTGAGACAAAAAGAATGGCAATAGGCCATGACAGCCCTCAAAGACTGAAAATGGTGATTTTTAAAATGTGTTACTGCAGAAACAATGGAGATATGCTGGGAAAAGTACAGTGCAGTTAATATGACAGAAAATTTATTTTTAACAATATTCTGAACAAATAATACCCTAGATACAATTCTATCTGACAAGCAAAAGAAAAGGATGCTTTAATGATCCCAGTGCAAGACCATATTAGCCTAAATAAGAGTTTTAGCTGTGTGAGTAAGAAAGATAGTATCTCTGAGATGTCATGCAGAAGAGCTCTGCAAGATGTAAACTAACCTGCATGTGAAACCCTAAGGAAAGCCAAATCCCTGATCACATACCTGAGTGACAGGACAGCAGCATTATCCAAAAAGATCAAAAAAGCAAGTTGAAAGTAGAAAGTTAAGAACAACTAGCTGTCACTCAAAATGAATTGTGTTGATCTGTGACCTCCACCCCCTCTTTTCTCATGCAGGGAATGAACAGTTAATGCTGACGTGTAAAATTATCACTGCTGGATATCTGACCCCATGGTTCATTGACAGATTTAAGCCAATGTATCTGTGGGCTGCAGTCAAAGCAGCAGTCCTGCTGCTGTCCTCTCCACCCTTATTTTCCCAGGCTCTCCCTCATTTCTTCGCTAGTGTTTGGGCAGCTATCAGATGACTTAGATCAGATAGTTGATTGAAATGAAAATTAATCATTTGTATTTGTAGGCTGATTTTTAGTCGGATCAGTTCACTGATCTGACTTAACCCTGCATCAAAAGATCTCTAGAGCTGATAAAAAGGAAATGCTAGGAATATATGGCCAAAGGTGTGGGAGATATGAGGACATTGTGTGTCCTATGGATAAACTGGCTTAAAATAATTGTGAAATTGCATACCATTTTAACCCTTTCTTAGCAATTAATATGCCTGTTCACCTTTTTCTCTCAAACTAAAACTCTGCACTTTTTAGGAATTGTAGTAATAGAAGAACACTGTCTGCTTCAGAAACTACAGGTTCCCCCTGTTAATCCACTGATTTAAAGCTTTGATTGAGTGGGTAAGTTTAGCCATCTAACATGGTCGTTACAATTTATCGTTTACAAAAAAAGACGAAGAGTGCGCTATAAGACTGGAAAGTCTTCAGTAAGTTCAAGCATCCAACCCATTGTATTATTAAAGGGTGAGATTTCCTGAGATGGTTTATATATGTACAAAAGTATGTTCTACAAGAACGTAGTTTCTTGTGCTATGACAGCATAAAGATATTTCCCTCTGGTAATTTCATGCACAACACCAAGGACTTTTGTTTTTCTGCATGGTGAAGAGAGGAAGGGAATCCATGAGATTAAGGAAGATTAATTTAGAAAGAGCATTCATATCTTTAACCTGACTTTCCAGAAGAAAATGTACACATGCATCGTATCAACGTGTGTAACTGATAGGAGTAAGACTCTTCCAAGTTTCACCCCTTGAAAAGAACTAGAGGGAATGGACACAAATTGAAATACAGGAAATTCCATTTAAAATTAAGAAAAAAATTATTTCACTTTGAGGGTGAATGAACACTAGAACATGTTGCTCACAGAAGCTTCAAACTCTTCATCCTTCGAGATATTCAGAATCCACCTGGACAAAGCTTTAAGTAACGTGCTCTAATGGTTTGATTATTGGGCTTGGACCGGACACTCGCCAGTCTCAATGATTCAAGTGATACTGTGATCTCTCTTTTTTATTGTAGCTTATTATTAAAAAATCATGTTCATAACTACTAAAAACGTGAAAATTACCAAAAACTAAGTTAAAAATATCTCACAGCCTGCTTAATATACCATAATACATACATCACTGCGTTTTTCAGTATATAAGATGACAATCTTCATTCCATCATAAAAATACTCTTTCCAGGGTCTTAACAATGAGAAACTTATGCACAAATAAATGCTATCATTTCCAAGTCATTTTCTGCCCAAACTGCATTTTTAAAAGTGAAGTCAATCTTTAGGAGATTCGTGTCTTCTCCTTCATGCCACCTTAAGCTCCCAAGTAGGCTAGTAATTTTTGGATATTCTATTCTAAAAGACTTACCCAATATCACACAAAAGGTCTGTAATACAGCAGTGTTTTGAAACCATTTCCTAACTCTAATATTGCTATCCTTGATTATTAGGACATCTTTCTTCTCCACAACTATACATATAACAGTTTTACGGTACTTTATTCCTCCAAGCAAATTTTAAAGCAAAAATGAAATATGCACTTGTCACCAAAAAACTACTTACATTCTGAGATCCATGATTCTCAAGGTACTGTCTTTGGTATGGATTAATAAACGCCTTCCATTTGGATGCACCTCCAAATGATTTATTGGTGTTCCTTTAACATCATTTTCTTTTATTTTCTACAAAAAGAAGGAAAATAAAATAAAACAATACATCTTTGTTTTTTAAAACTCATGTTTTTACACATTATTATTCATTTTTCTCTTGCATTACTTTTTTTCTGCCCACTTCATTCTATTTGCCTAAGTTTGTTCCTATATCAAGGCATTAGAGCCTTGGCAATCAACTTTTCACATCCACAAGGGAGATTCTGCTGTGACTCTGAACTTCTGAAACAGCTGATGACAGAAATGCTGACTGAACTTTAGGCCTCTTAGGTATGAACAAAGGCAATTTGTAAAGCCTGTGGTCTATTTTATTGTTGTCTCTAGAGAAAAAACCTAACGCATTAGCATTTATGTGTTAATACGATGCCATTAAACCTCAATAAACCTTGTTTTATATACAAAAAACCTGAAGTTGCAAAAAAATTAAAAAATTTTGTCAATGAATCACAGCATGTTCTATCTGCTCTTTTGTACCATTACTGAAAGAAAATACACCTTTTCAGTTAAACAAAACGTATAAAAAAATTTGAATTTACATCATATAACTAGATTTGGAACAGTTCATATAAAAATTACAATGTTAGTTTAGGAAATCTGTATACCTTATTAATCTTCCAGTGTTGAAACAGGTGTTGAGAACTTCCCTTGACAGGTGTATCCCAAACTATTATCAGTCCTGAATGATCTCCTGAGAACATGTGGAGCCCTGTGAAATAATAATGTCTTGTAAGTAGAATACCACACAAAAGAACTCAACAGAAAAGACCGTATGAACAAAAAACATTTTTTTTTTCCTGTTATTTTGGTGAATAGGTGAACACCAATTCTTTCCTCTCTTTTGCTATGTTCTACTCACTGCAAATGCGTTTTTCTCATACCGCATGACATAAATTGATACCATAAATCTGGATTCAGCACATAAGTCAGATACCGGGGTGATGAATATTCTTTTAAGTTTTTTAATTTTTACTCATATTCTAGAGCCAGAAAAAAAAATGAAAATTTATAGCTCAATGAGCTTTGCATGATAGCCTAACGCTTACCTATACACTCACTGAGAGCATCCTGAACAAGAACAAATACTGTTTTCCAACAGTTGTTCTTAAATTAAGCACAATTACTCATTCTTTATAAAAATGCAACTCTTTACTCTTTTTAGTACCTACTCCAGTGAATACCTCTAATTACTAATGATGTCACTAACACCAGAAAAAGTCAAACACTTCCAGTATCTTATTCATTCACCCATCCTCAACTCTTTCCACCCTCCACTAGCACGTCAGTACACCTCTCACTCACTTTCACCTGTTGGTCTACCAGTTAACATTATTCACAATGGTCAAATCTCAGTCCTTTTTTCTGTTTTTCACATTCTCTGTCAATGTTGAAAAGTTCATCACCTTCTGACTTCTTCAGTGTAGCTTTAAAATTCTCATAATCCAACTACTGCTACCTCATTTTTTTAATCTGTGTATTGAGTTGATAACCTTGAATGGCAGTATGATGAAGCTGTCTTTGCTACTGTTCTGATCATGACATCTCCTATTCTGAGAGTTCTCTAGAAGCTGGTTTCAGATTTCCTGCTTCTGCTTTTATGTTAGTACATAATTCTTTCACATGGAAGAATTCTAGCCAAACCTGCCTTTTTTCCAACTTACCTCTCTACACTAACTGCTAGGCTTTTCACCTGCATTCCTGATGTATTTGTCTCCTCTGGACAGTAATATCTGTGCCTTATGTTCTACTAATTTTTGCTGCAATATGTACAAAACTTTAGCTAACAAATAATAGCTAGTTATAGGGACAATGAAAACTAAAATATGACCAAAATTTGCCCAGTCATCATTACACATCTGTTTGTCCTTTCTGATTACTCTCAATTTATATCAGGGACTATGTGTCCCTTCGTGTTCACCCAAATAAGGCATCATACTAACATATTAATTGCAAATACAGCTAAAACTGTTCTATTCCATTATAGGATTCCACACTGCCTCTATGAAATAAAGCAAACTAGTAACACTCAAGTTGGTCTTCAACTGAAGACTATTTGAAAAAGTCATACTAAGTACATACCTTCTGCATCAAAACAAAGTGTGTTGATGAAACTTGTGTGACCATCAAGCTCCTGTAGCAGTTGCCCATGAATTTCTTTCACATTTGCATTCCAGATTCTAATCACTGAGTCGTAACATCCTGTCACAACCAATGAGTCAGCAATTGGGTGGTACTTTGCAGTGTAAACAAATGAAGGATGAGGAAAAACTCTCACTGCAGATGCCGTCTGTGTTTCTATTTTCCACATTCTAAAAGGAAAGGATGTTAGGATATCTACTATATAAAGTAATCACATCCACGGGTATAACTGATGCCATATTTTGTGCTAGTGGTTCTAGAGGCAAATGTTTGCAAACATTTAACACCACCTGTTTATCCTACCAATTTTTTCCACCTGTATTTAATCTTTTAATATGGTACTTTCTAACTAGAATTAAGATATATTTGCTACTTTGCATACTACTCTCTTCAAACTACATATTCATTTAATGGATATTTTGCACATTTTAAAATACATATAAAGAATTTTATGGAATGGATTAGTCACTTTTCTTTCAGGAGTTGTAAACAAATTAACACCTTCGGGGACATCCCTCCTTTAAAAAACAAAGAGTTAAAAAACAAAACAGAAGGTAGAACAAAAAACCCACAAAGGAACATCTAGGACCACTGAATATATATAAAACCCCATAAAGTTTTAAAAGAACAATTATCTACCTCACAGTGACTGTGATCTCAAAGATGTTTTTTTCACATAAATTCAGTTCTTACTATGCATCTATTTCCTATCCTTTACCACTCGTAGCTGTAACATCAGATTTTTCTTAGGAAGTGTTTTCTGTTTCGTGCTATACATTGTATTATTGAGCCTTGCCCAAAGTTGAATCCATAAAGAATGGAATGAGTTCCCAGATCATTAAATACAAGTGGCCAACACATTTTAGACAGTGTTCAATTACTGTATGGAATTTAATTGTTAGTGCCACTCTCCCAGGTGGGGTGACTACTGAAGAATTCTAAGATTAATCTCAGGTGAATTCATTACAAAACTGCAATGCCTTAGAGTATAGCAATTAATTTGCTATATGGGCAAAGGTCACAAGGAATCTACCTATTTTTTAGAACAGTTTTGTTCTAACAACATATAAGTTAATTTATTGCTCACAGATGACGTGGGACTACAGCTTGGGAAGGCTCAAGGGTTACACAAAACACTATATAAAGAAGAATTCACATAAGTTTCCAAATTTCCATTTAAGTTGCCTTAGAACTCAGAGAGATGATTCAAGTAATAAACTGGTAATGGATTTAAAGCAGTGGGGTGCCTTTTGGTTCTCCGTCCTTCAATTCTACCATGTTTCAATGGCAAAGTGTTCCCAATATGAAAGGGAAAAAGAATAAGCTCCTTGCCTAAAGTGAGACTTTAAGGAGCTTAAGGCAACGGACAATAAATACAGGAACTAATAACACATGCAGTGACTACGCATAGTACACAGAAAAGGAGGCAGACCACTACAGTTTCAACTTGCTGCCAAATTCAAGAATTTGGAACAGCTGGGCCTTCCTATAGGTAACATAAATGACTGAAATTTATATTTGCTTTAAATAAGATTTTAATCTGCTTCCAAATGAAAAATAAAAACATGGGCTAAACTCTCAAAATACTCTTTTTGTGCCTGCATACAAGCAGCAAAGAAAAGCAACATAGTTCCACACACACAATATATCATTTAACAATTCTTCTGGCATTTCAATTATGCAACTGCCTGTAGCATTACTGAGTTGCATAACAGAAACAACAGATAGGGATCTGAAGAGCTTAAAAAAAAAAAAAAAAGCCCTATGTAAACCTATGAAGTTGTTCATAATAAAATTGTGTAGTATCACAGCCATATTTTCATGTATTTTTACAGTTTTGAGGGTTTTGCTTTTAAACCTTGAACAGATTAGTATTTCAACATTATCACTGCACTGAGGTACACTTTTTAATTGTAGATGAAAATATATACACATTCAGTCTCAGAAATAATATCAAATTTCATTTAGAGCAATTTAAGATGAATTATTTAACTAAGTTCAAAAAAATACATATATATGTGTAGTATGGCCAATTTATGGACATAACTTGAATCTTAAATTTTCAATTTTCTGCCTCATGTTCAAATTTGTGAACTTAATACTGAATTCATAATATGGCAATTTTCGCAATGACAGAATATTCCAGCTGTCTCATAGACTTCTTCAAACATAAAGCCTCTTTTTTTGCTGCACTGTAGATTTAGACACTACAGTTTTTGGAAAAGCTTAGGTCTCAAATACATATACATCAGAAAACAATTTAGTAAATACAGTGTAAGTGATTAACTCCATCACAATTTTTATATTAGTATAGTGTCAAAATGTAATCAAATATTTGATTAAAACATTATAGCATAGTTCGTAGCAAGACATGAAACTGAACCACTTTCTTTTCTGTTTCTGATGCTATCTGCCAGAATAGCTTCATCATACTGACCTGACAGTGCCATCAGACGATGCAGTAAGAAGGAATTGATTGTCTTTTGACCAACAAAGATCATACACTATGTTAAAGTGACCATAAAATTCTCTCAGGAACTGTCCAGAAGGAATTTCGTACACTAGTAAAGTTTAAATAGAAAAACGTATTTTTTTTAAGTATTTACAGTCAATTATATGTAATGCTTAGTGCAAAGTTTAGTCTCATTTTAGGGTGAGTTTCTGCTAGCATAAATCAATTAATTTTCTTTACCTTTTCATTTTCAGAGAACAAGACCAAATAGTTGCTAGATATGCTTGGACAGCAAGCATATACTTCCATCTAGTGGTTTATGCACGTCACGAACCTCTTAACCCTTTAGAAACAGACTACTTGCTTTAAATTATTAGAACCAGACTAGGATTATAATTTTCTTTTTTTTTTTTTTTTTTAATTTTGTTAGCTACTTGACCAATCTTCAAAATAGATTAACAATGAGATAGTTTTCTGGGGCTGTGTAATAAAGGAATCTAGACTTACTGTTCCTTACATTTAAACATTTACTTTGTGTACACTTAAAATACTATTCTCTCTTAATCTCAAAATTCTTACGCAGGGTTTACGAACTATGCAGTTGAAGCAACTGTGAAAAAGCAGCCCCAAGCTAGAGTAATAACAAATATCTGTAGTTTCAACTGAACTGGACCATGGGAGATGACAACCTCCAGTAGTCTGTCTGAAGACAACGATATTCCGGGTATCTAACTTTCATGAGATGTTAGGAGAAAAACTTACACAAAAAGCATGTGGGGTGGGGGCTGGAAAAGTTATTTAACTTAAAACTTTATTATCAGGAAATACATTTCTTATGCAAACTGATTTAGTATTTCCATCAGACCTCTGCACAGAAGTAGTGTGATTTCATACTGTTAAACTGCATATACATTATTATGTATGAATAGCCAGTTCCAGCCCTACTAACACATAAAGAGCATTTTCCTCAATGTTCTTTAATGCACAGAACAATTTGCAAAACACAATTGTAAAACAAAACCTCTAAAGCCCACAATTTCAAAATACATTTTTTGCCCTCTAATTTCAAAATACATGAGTTATGAGAAGAAAAACCACAAAATCTATTTTAAACTTACAAACTATGGGATAGCCATTCCTTCCTGCACATGCTGCTGCCAGTGTTTTTCCATCATGAGAGAAACGAATACAGAAACAGCCCATATCTCCACCTCGTAGTGAAAACAGATGCTTGTTCGGTATGCGGCAAGCCTAGCTTTTCAGGTAAGAATTAGAATTACACAGTTATGAATATTAACTTCCCAATGCTTAAAACACATTCTTAGTTCCTGTCATGCATAATTTTTAAAAAGCTACTACCACCTTTAAGGGAAATTAAAAGAAAAATTCAACCTGATAAACAGAGAAAGTTCTTCTGCATACTTAAGGCCACATCTCGTTTGTATATTCACTTCTGCCCCATTACTACAGACAACTAGCAAGTTTCAAAAATCTAAGAATATTTAAAATTGAAATAATTTCCTTAGTCTTAAAATGATCTTAATGATGACTATCATCAAAAATATGAAGTGTAGAGTTAGACAGTAAGTGAAGCTTGTTTAAGGAGTCCAAGCACAACTTTTAGTAACCCAATGATTAGAGTGTGAACTGAGAAGACGAACTCCAGGCACTCAAACCTTTGATTTACCAAATCACCTTTAATATTCCTCATCTGTATGTTAATTCCTGATATTTTTTTAAACTGGAGATGAGACAGTTCAAAAAAATTGCACAGGCATTACAGTCCCCCTTCATCTCTCCTTTTTTCACCCAAGAGCTCTGTCTGCAGAACAAAATTCAAAGTTTAAGGTGAATTAAAATATCCAGAGTAGTTATGTGTTTATTTAACCTAAACCCAATTGATTTTATGAATGAAAAATGAGTACAAACAGGTTCATAAGCATTTAAAAGTATACAAATAGATCTACCTATGAAATAATTGAAAAAACAGTCCACTTCACAAAAAAGGTAAACACATCTTGCTAGAAACTATATATGCAATTAAGCATTCTTATGCTTATTAACCTCTTTAAAATAAAACATTACTATGTTGAATCAATAATTCAGCTCAGAACAAACTTCTTTTATTTATGGGTCATATAGCTACACTTTGCATATAAAATCAATATTTAATTCATATATCAAATAATGCTATAGAACATTTTGGAAAAATAATTTAATCCATCTATATTTATAGAGCCAGATACAGATATATTGTGGTTCGTTAAAAAGATAACAGCTTTAAAGGTAAAATAGTAATTTAAATATATAAAAAGGAAACAATAATTTTGAGCGATTACTCACTTTAAAACACACACATCTGCTTTAATATTCTTTGACAAACAGACATGTCACATCAGGCTAACCTTACTGAAGCAAGAACCTTACTGAACCTTACTTTTCACAAGACAGTACATCACAAAATACATCATCGCTACTACTAAAGTTCTTTAATATGCACATGGGTTAATCTATGAATAAACGAGCTGCCAAATTTTATTTGTATGATATGGCAGGCAAATATTCTTAGGATCACATTTCTCTTGGTTTTGATTACACACTTATGTTCAGAATGGCAACTTTCTGAAAAGTAATGAACATCAACATAACTACAACTTTGGTGTATCTTGCCATTTTTGGTAAGAAAAATTCCACTGTAAAAACAGCCTCATCTATTCTTTACTATTTTATTATTATTAGCAAACATTACTGGGAAGTAAAACTAGGTCTGTGTATATTTAAGTGTTCTTTTTGAAAGGATCTGTACAAGGACTATACAGTATGGAATCAAAATAAAAATCAACATTCTTTGTTAACAAATCTTCATGTTATTATAATATTATTATATATTATATTTTATATACTCTACTATATATTATTTATATATATATATGTTCATATGCCTATATATATTTATATTTATTATATTATATATAATATATATTATATATTACTATGTTATAGAACCATGAACTCACACTAATGCTATTCTACAGAAAAATATAAAATCATTGCATGGACATTCTATATAAAGTTGCAAAAATACTCCCTATTTATGATTGCTATAGTGATCTAGGAGTTAGGATGAAGTCAAGAGGAACCTTCTTAAGAAGGTTCTTCAAAGATAATTCCTTTTGTTATACTGTAAAAATCACTTAACTGCGGGAATTTAAAAAACAAAACAAACAAACAAAAAAATCCCCAAGAAAATATATTCTGAATCAAGCTGAAATCCAAGAACTGGCTTCATGTTGTACTTCTACTACCTGAATAGCCCTACTCTTTCAAATTCCTGGAGAATTCTGGAGATAAAAATGCCTGATTGTTTTGGAAAAAAATGGTTAATCCAACCATATTTGGTAAGAAGATAAGCATCCTCTAATATTTCTAGTTCTTTATGTTTTGTATTTTATGCTTAGTAAAAAATTATATGCTTTAGTAAAAGAATATCTTCATAATATTTGTATCATAAAAATAAAGTAATAAAAAGATAGTAGATCTTTAAATTGTTTTTCTTCAAAAAATGAAGAAAAACACTTTACCTGTCCAGGCAATCTTGTCCATTTAAATGGCTCCTTTTTCTCCTGTGGAACAAGTTCACACGATTTTTTAGATCCCTCCCTCTGGATCTCACAGAGTGTTGCACTGCTCCCTTCCTGTTGAACAGCTATCATGGAGCGGAAAGAAGGAGCAACCTTAAGGGAAACAAAACTAAGTATCAGGGAAAAATATTAATATGAACACTTTAGTATCGGAAAAGATTAAAAGGTACTTTTAACTTCAAATGCATTGCATTTTTACATCTGAAAAACAGACCGGAAAAAGCTTAATACATGAAAACTGCACAGCAAAAATTTCATTTAAAGCAACCAGCAAGTCAGAAAGTCATCTGAGCTTCCAAAGTTGTGTCAATCAGGTAGTATAAAAGATTTTTCAAATAATCAGTACCTGTCTATTTTTATTAACTACCCAGGTCAGTGAAAATTAGTAATGCTCTACTACCTGGTGAATGCCCTGTATAACCAAAAACCATTTCAGTATGTAAATAGTTCCAGTGACATTAACCCACCACCTTCAAATCAAAACACTGCTTCAGCAACAAAATCCATTCATGATACCAAAGATACTACCAGCACTGTATATTGAACAAACTATATTCAAGTGTTGCAAAGAAAAAAAGAAGACTGACCGCATTTATGATTTTAACTGTAGGTAAAGCATATATACTCTCCAAACTCCTGTAAGTACACTTACTGAACCTCACCCATAAGTTGCACCAAGGTTGAACACACAGGAAGCCTTAATGCCATGAAGCAGCCTAACAACCCCATGGCTGAGCTGAGGTGCACACAGGCCATTAGGCAGCAGCTACAGTTCTGATCGGTTTCACAAAGACAAGTCTCTTTAGAAACACAACTGAAAGCCAGACAAAATTACTGATTTATTCCAGGCTGACAGCTGCCAGGTATCTACTTCAGGGTGAGTAACTGTCTAGGTTCCTGTGACTAAAAAGGCAGCTTGGACACCTACTATGCAGGCAGAAACCAATTTATGGGCAGAAACCAATTTATGAGCTTAAATCAGTTGTCCACACATAGGTGTCTACTTCCATGCAAAATGCCCTGTTTTATTCGAGACATCTATGTTTGTATCCACCAGCCCATGCAGGAGGTATGGGAGATCTGGGCCCTTCTGGAGAAGCAAGAGACTAGGCAGGACCTGTAAGAGATCTTAAATGGAAGCAGAAATCTATGCATAGGAAACTGTATCACATCATGCCTATTCATCTGGAGCTCAATCCCAGCCTAGGCGTAGCAGGCTTTCATCAGAACAAGAATGAAATAACATCCAAGTCAAGCGCAGCTCAGAAAACCTATGCAAATACATCACATCACTTCAACTTCACAGCGGACTGTAAAGTCGGGACAGCTGTAAATCAGTGATAGCACCTAGACGTACCCGGAAAACACTTAGAACACGGAGAAGACACTCAGAACACTTCCAGAAAGATGAAGCACAGCTGCTCAAGCAAAGTGCACAGAATTCCTAACAACCTCAGCAGCTGACTGAGCAAGAAATCCACAGATGTCATTCCAGTATACAGATTAGAAACATGTCCCCAAAACATATGAATTAATCCCACAGATTAGCTTGGTTTTGGACTGCATCTCACTAGGCTTCCACAGATCACCCTTGGTTGTATGAACAGTGAGCAGAAGACAGACTTATAACAGTAAATATATATGAAAAACTATGTAATAGAATAATATTGTATTGTAGAACGCTGTATTTACCTTGAATGCACATCTCAGCATATACCAATGTAAACCCGTCTTAAAAGTTTTCATTTGAGAAAATAAACCCATGATGGGTGCAGAGAATCAAAGTTAAGTGACTTACATCTTCTCTCATTTATAGAATTTACATACCTACATGAGTCCAGTGACTTAAAAAGGCATTTCTCCTAATGAGAAGGAATATCAAACTTCAAAAAAGCACCCTGAAAGTTTTCTGTCAATGGCAAAATATACAAAGTTGCAGATAGTAAAGTATGCCTGTTTTTTAAAGACAGCTATGAAGGGCTGAGTTTGGAACACGTATCTTAAGATCAAAATTCTTATTATAGCTAGTTATATACTATCTATTTTATGTATTGCATATAAGTACAGCTTTTATATACATGCATACAAACAGACACACACACACGTGCACAGACACACACTGCAGCTAGTTCCTGCAGAAAAGTCTGTATATTTGTAAATACATTTATATGTTTAGCTTACATGATCTGGCAGTTTTATGCCTCTTACAGTTACATATAAAGTTGATGGGTAACGATTTCTAGGATGTTTTTCCCACCAGTCATAAACCTCAACAACATTCGAATGTGACTTGGTCCTTGGAGGTGGGTAATATAATTGCAGACGGAGTTTTCCATCAATGTTTAGAATTCCATTTGCACCTACAAGCTGAAAGGGTGATTAAAAAGAAGAAAAAAATGTGTGATGTTAACACAAAAGTAATAAAAGTAACTGATTATTTCTGATATCTTAAACAACTACAGTATAAACTCTGAAATCCACTTCGCATTGGGGAAATATACTATCCCTAAAAGCAGTAATGAAGTAAGCATGTATGAAACACCCCCAGGATCAAATCACTAAGACTGAACTTAGATGGCAGTCTAGTTTTGAAATACGCTTCACATGCACAACAGTAATAATAACCTCTATGTGGGAACACCTCTGCTGTCCCACCCATTTTTTTTTTTTTACTATTACTTGCTGGAATCATCCAAATCTCAAAGGACTGTTAGTCCATAAAGAATCTCTTCCAAATCTGCCTCCTTTGAACACTGCAGCATAGGGCATTGGTAAGGCTTTGACTCAGAGCAGAAGATACACCAAAGAAATAACCTTTCCAACTTCAGAGGAAAGAGAATTCTCTCTACTGAAGAACAATTGTACCTTCTTAACATTGACATTAACACTGACCGCTGTTTATCAGGACATTTCTACTTTGACCGATACAGATGAAAGGATAATGCAGATAGATGCAGTAGGAATGAAGAACAGGCAGCAATTTTATTTGCATTTATAAGCTGGAAATTCGTCCTTCCCTTTGTTCAGGAGTAGGCTGTACTGAATGCCTGGATGTGTAGTTCCCACCAGCTATACACTCAGACATGGGACACCAGATGTCTGATTCCAGTAGATTCATCTTGGGCAGAGCTGAGACTCTATATGGAGTGACATGAAGGTCCCTCTCCCTTACCCTAAACTTGCAGTCCATTATCTTCTCCTGTATTTCTCATGCTGTGGACTGCTCAATGGCTGTCAAGAACTACCATCAACAGGGGTAGGTGTAAATAAACAATCCTCAGGTAAATTAAAGCTTGTCAGCTCTCAAAGGCCAAACTGGCACATTCAGGACTCTCCTAAAAGGGCAAAATGGTACAAAACATGCTGGCTAAATTGCCTGTATCTCATTGCTGCAGCATTTCAAACTCTGCAACTAAAAATGACAGGCATTTTTTAATTAGGCTAGGGAGTCTTCTCAAAGACCGGGCCAACTGAAAATGCCACTGGAATACATAATAGCTGAGGTACAGAAATAAGCAGATTTGTCATTTTCTTTGCAGAGACAATCTCATGATCACATAGAAAATCCTCAGAGAAAAACTCCTCCTGTACTTTATGAACAAAAAAAATTCTTATGTATTCTATACTTTCTTGAAAAATACATATTCTTTACTGTCAAGCTAGTTACTGCGAATTTTACGGGGCAAAGGAGGAGGGAAAGAAGAGAACAGACAAGAAAGCAAGGATTGGTTTTTCCATGTCTGTTGCCTAGAAATGTTGAAAAAATGTATTCTCACCTAGTATGGTTAGTCTCTTTTAAATAACTGAATAAAAAGATGTATAAATTTTATTTCTTCATTTAAATATTTACAATACCTTTAGAAATGCCCAACAAATTTTTCGGAAACCACATTCCTGAATTTGTGTATCAGAGTTGGCTCTCACTTCATCCATACTTAGAAAATCAAGGATCTGAAAGCATTGGTAGGAATACAAATATATTTCTAATGAATATGTACTTCATAGTAATTAAAAAATACTGCTGAAAATATGCTAGATGCAGTTTACTAAATTAAGCAGATTTCAATTTCAAGCAATTACAAAAATAGTACTTCTTTCACACAAGTTCACAATTAGAAATAACACATCCTTATGCATTTACCTGATGACTGTTGATGACTTGCTTTAAAAAAAGAACACAAGCCTGGTTTTAAAAAACTATTCTTCCTTCCCTCTGTCTCAATAAAAGAGGAAAATGTCCATGTGTAATTTTCATAAATCCTGTATAGTTCACAAATCTGACAGCCAAAACCAGTTGTAAGTTAATCTAACTGGAAAACAGCAGTCAAAAAGTTTATTTTCCTTTCCTAGCTTTATCACTTATGTCACAGATTCAATCATAGAATGGTTTGGGTTGGAAGGGACCTTCAACAACCATTTAGTCCAACCCCCCTGCCATGGGCAGGGACATCTTTCACTTGATCAGGTTGCTCAAAGTCTTGCCCAACCTGACTTTGAACACTTCTAATGATGCCCTGAGAGTCTTAATTTTTCTGGTCAGCAACCAGGATCTTCTCACAGTTAGCCATTCCTGGAGGTTTATCTGATACACAAAAAAATCTTGAAATCAGGCTTTCTTCAAACTGGTATTTCACAAACCACGATGAAGTCCAACAGCATACTTTCAGTGTAGTCATACTTTTGGTGCCAACATTAACATGATTTGCATGAAGACTCTTTATGTACAAAAGTAATTACTTTTGTGTTAAGCAACTAAGGACTCTAATTCTATAAATGTGTTCATTTATGAGTATCATAGAACTTAAAGAAGCATACTGTGATACTGTATATACAATCTTTTTGAAATATAAGAAACAAGGAATGAAAAAAATATTTATTGTATTAGGTTCCCATCTTCAGGTTAATACTACAGAATCTCTCTTTACAAATACTGAAATACTTAAGCTCAAAATCACGTTGAATATATAATTTATAATTTTTCCTTTAAACGTAATTGTATTGGAGAGTGACTTAATAGTTACTTTGTAAAGAATGAGAGAGGATAAATAGATGTCTAAAACGTCAGTGGAAAACAATGCAATAGCTTGCTCACTGGTACAAGGGAAAAGAGCTGTTGCTACCAGCAGGCAAACTCAGTCTCTGAGTTTCTGGTACTTAAGCTTCTTTTCAGATTTCAAGAACATGAAAAAGCAAAAAGTGATATCCTTTGTATGTGGTGCCATCCCTCTTGATCTGGAACAATACTACCAGCCCTTCCCAGAAGTTTGACAGTTGATTTAATGAGAAAACTTTGTCCTCCTTACTACTATCAAAAAAGGAGTTTTTTGCAGTAAGAAAATGTATATTAGTATTAACAATCACCAACATCACTTTTTCATATCTCACATTAATCCTGTATCTTGAGGCTATGCTATTAACCCAATATAACTGAAATAAAGCACCTGAATCAGTCAAATATATGCTGTCAAAGAAACAAACAGAAAATTGTAATGTGCATAAATTGGATATAAAATATTTAACCTTACCTCAAAAAACAGGATTACCCGAGGGTTTTCTTCAGTGTTTTGAATAAAGTATCTAAAGCGCTCATTAAACATGAGTTGCTCCTCCCACTCTGGGACTGCTGATTTAGTCTGTCTGAAGTCATATGGTTGTGTCATAATAGGAAGAACATGTTCTATTTGCTCTTGTTCATAGCAAGATGAAACTTTCCTCTTGCTGTTTGAAAATTTCCAAACAGTTACAATTACTATAGTGCCTTAAAAAAAAAACCAAACTCAAGCAAGCCAGTATTTTCAATTACTGAAAGCACAGAGATATAAGCTACCATGGTTTTGATTTTGGAAAAAAAAATTTCTAAAGCTATATGAAATTTCAGACAATTTGCAATGCATTTAGAAATGCTACAGGCTGAAGTTCAAAAGCATAACAATGAAGTTACTGTTACCAAATTTATGCATAATGATCATGGTAGAGTCTACTACTTAAGCACTGTTAAAAATTTGGTTTGCAGGAAAATTATGTATAATGACAGTGCAAACAACTAACTGAAGTGATTAAAAATATGAAGAACTAAACTTCATTTCAGGATTTTAAAAGTTCTTTTATAAAAAAGAAAATGCAGACCTATTTATGCTACAAGAGTTTTGCTTACTTATTCTAATCTTGGCTTCTATGTACTTTTGAGACTTAGGAAATTTTCTCTCTGGAAATAATACAGAATGAACTTTCTGTAAATATGGGGACCTTGAGAACAATACAGCAGTGCAAGGTATTTAAAAGTACCAAAAAGTAAATAAAAATATCACCCTAATTTACTGTATGCATATATATGCATTATCATAGTTGTAGAAACTAATGAATGACCTCGCAAGCTTAAAATTCAGCAAGATTTTCATATTTAATTGTCTAGGGAAGGATCTATGGATTTATAGTAATCAATGATAATAGAAACAGTTTATTAGAAGTCACCTATGATCCTTCTTGACATATAAGCCACTTCTCTGATCAACAACATGGACTTTAACCATGGGATGAGATAGCAGGAGATCAGTTTTAAGTTGATCAGATCGATGGATATAAACTCCCAACACCAGATCATCATCAAAACCAAATTTAGACTGAGTTGAAATTTCTGAGTTCTTCAATTCCTCATCATTTTCTGCAGCAACTTCTGTGTTTTCTTCTAGAAATAGTAACAAACACAATGATTATAATATTTAATGTGCTCTTTACATAATAATGTTTAACATGTTAATTATGTAATAGGTTAAAATAAAATTATCAAATTTTCAGCATTTTAAACATGTATGAACATACATGTTAATATATTTATTAATATAATCATTAATTTAATTAATATATTCATATTAATATAACATACATATTAATATAATTAATATATTCTACTCCTATTAACAAACATTTTTATTTAAAATCAGAGCTCTTACTCTGGATTGACATAGGTTCTTCTGTGCTACAATGACTTAAAATGCCTACAGTTCAGTATCCTGCTCTGGACTAAAGCCTGTAGTAGTTTTTTGTTTGTTTTTGTTTTTTGGGGGGTTGTTTTGTTTTGTTTGTTTGGTTAGGGTTTTTTTAGGAAAATGTAAAAAACCAAGATAAGTGGAAACTGATGCTTTCTCCATGTGCATTTTCCCTGAATTACCAAACATTGTTTTCAGAACTTCCTCATTTACAAGTTACAGTCAGACCACTTAATAGCTATCAAAAGACCTACTCCTCATCAATTTCTATAACGTCAATTTAAAAAACTTTCTTATTTTGGCCTCCACAACGTTTGAGAAAGTGAATTCTTTATTTGACTATGTATTGCATAAAAAAGTATTCCTTATGTCTGAATGGAGCATTAGGTTAATACAGTGGTGATACACTACTTGTAGCACTGAGCAAATAAAAAAGCTAAAGTAATAAAAAGACAATTAGTATATGCATGTAAGTAATACACTGTAATAGTGGTATATATTATAATATTATTAATTTAAGCTTAAAACCCCCCCAACTTTTTAACTATTTATCCACTTCAAAACTATTTACAGCAAATGAATTCTCAAGATTTTAGGCTGATACATCAAATAAACTTCCTTACAACTTAGCCTCAAAATTGGAAGAACAAATATACAATTAAGTAATTAATGAAACATAAGTAACTTCAACAGCTCGATCGGTTCTGTTTTACTACTATGGACGTATATTTCTGTAGCAGTGCAAAAAAAAAAAGTAGAAAAAAGACTTGGATAAAGCAGCAAAGCAGCATGTCATTCTAACATTTTGTTGGCAGACCTTTTCTGGTTTTCTTTTTAACCTTCTTTGCTTTAGGTTTCTGGTTTTCCATGCTTTCTTCCAGTTTCTGTCCATCTGATGTAAATAGTCTTTCCAGTAACTGATTTTCATTGCCATCTTCTGCTGGAGGATGCTTTAGCTCAGAAAGGGACATTGCACTGCAATGTAATGTATTACTGTCAGCAGTTGTATTCTACTGCATGTATGGATATAACTGCTCATTACCATTATTAATCCAGTTGAAATTTCCTCTTTAGTTCTGCAACTCATCATCTGTGTATCTTAAAAATGCAACACATACTCCCAACATTAGTGTCTTGCCATTTTAATGTCTCCCCCGGCTTCATTTCCCCCTAATTTCCAGATAATTGCAGAACCATTCATGTGAATAGAGCTAAACTAATACTCTTCTGCTGGATCAGGGCTATCACTCATCACTAAACTACCATGCACATAATTATCTTAAAGTTAGTTAAGAGTGAGTGCCACAGAAAATGAACATCAGATAGTAGTGGAGGATATTTTTTTTAAAGTAAAAAAGAATCTGTGCATTAAATATTAATCTCGACAGCATTTTGAAAAAGTATTTTGTAATATTTTTTCATAACAACATCATCCAGTTCATCACTTAGAAAATACGTACGGTTTATCAACAAGCTTCTGCCTACATAAAACAAAATTAAACATTCCACTTAAGATTCACAGACACACGGTATACAGTTTATCATGGTACCTTGTTTCAGCTTCACTTAAAACTGCTATTTCTTTCTTCTTTTTCTTCTTTTTGCCCGCTTCATTGTTCAATACAACTTCATGGCTTTGAACAGTGGAGGTAAATTCAGACATCTGTTCTTTAAGTTTCATTCTTATTTTCTTTTTAATTGCTTTTGCCTCATCCTCAGCCACATGCAGCTGATAGGCTCGAATTAGCTCTTCCTCCTCTTCTAACTCAGTTACATTTCTCTCTTCAGTCAAGGAATTTTTAATCTTTCTATCACCTCCTTGATGAAGTACATCTCTTTGTGTTTTACTTTTTGTTTTCTTCTTTGGAAAATCATTAATCTTTCTCTCAAAACTCTCCAATTTAGCTTCATATAAATTTTCTTCCTCATTAAATTGTTCTAGTAACGGTGATTTCTTTTTTTTCTTGTTAGACTTTGGCTGCTTGTTCTCCTCCCCGCTAACAGTATCATTGTTTATTTTCTCTGCAATTGAAGCTTTCTCTCTCAGTTTATTTTTTGTAAATCGGGGACTCTCTTCTTCAGGATTATATGTGTTGTTTATAATTGATTCATCATTCACACTCTCCTTAGCTAGATCAATATTACTTCTAAAGGTGTCAAGCTATAAATGAAAAGAACATAAAACATACTTGTACTAAAAATTATGTTCTAAGGATAAACATAGTACTTTATGTTACTTCTTTAGCAACATTATACAAAGTAAAATGAAACCAAAGATCTAGTTATTTTCTTGTTCAAAATTAACAAGCAACAGATTGAAAGGCAACAGAACATTCACACAGAAAAAAAAATTTTGTGTTTGGGCACTTCATCCTCAGTTTTGTTTCACTATGTTTTTAAATGACTTTTATGTATAACCAGTAAAAAAAGAAATCAACAAATCTATTCCATAAACAGATGCCAATGCTTTAGGCTATGGAAGACTTGAAGATTACATACAGCACAAAATCAAATATTTTCATCCATTTAAAATGCAAGTATAGAGACAGGCTTCAGGCCCAGTTGTTTGTAGTCTCTTTTACTAAAAGTTGCTTGCTAAAGTTTGACAATGAAACTGTATTAAAAAGTGATAAAACTGAAAACCAGATTTCCATTAAGACTTTTTTTTAAAAAAAAAATGTTGAAAGAAACAACCCACATTATTCTTAGTAGAATGACAAACAGTTGATCTAAAGACCAGTCTAGTAAAAACAGCTACAATAAATTTCAGCTAATGCATTTGTCTATGCACTCCTGCCAATTTTTGGTGTTTTTTAGAAAACACATTGTAAACTTTCCTCCCTCCTTCAGGTTTCTATTCCTAGTTACTAAAAGTTATAATGACCTATCACTGGAAACATTCAAGGTCAGGTTGGACATGGCTCTGAGCCACCTGATCTAACTGAAGATGTCCCTGCTCATCACAGGGGCATTGGACTAGATGACCTTTAAAGGTCCCTTCCAACCCAAACTATTCTATGATTTTTACTATAACTCCAAAAGACACAGCAAGTAACTAAGGCCGAATTCTGTAAGGAGCTCACCACACAAATCTCTGTTCCTTGATGGAGCTTCCATAAAGTTGTGGAGGTTCATTTACTCTGTTGTCTTACATAAAACTCCCCAGAATCTCCACATGAAACATTAGAAAGGACTTTAAAACACAAAGAAAGCAAAATAAAAAAAAAATAAAAAAAAAAGTTGGAGAAAATATAAGTATCTGCATGCGATCTTTTTTTCGCCAAGATCATCTTCCTTCCTCAATAAACACAGACATCTTCCTTTTCTAACTTGGATACTTCTCCCATTTACAGAATTACATTTGCCTAAAACAATTTTAAAAAGGGACAATATGTTTAATTAGTGATCACAAAAATGTACAAGCTTATAAGAAGAAAAAACTGAGAATGAAGTTGCAACAGCAACCATGCTTTGGAGGATGCATCCTGCCTTAAAAATGCCCACCTGCGAGAATAATACTCCATGACTACTAGAAAGAACACTCAATGTCCTAGTCACCTGCCTCCATTTTGTATGCCCTCAATTACATGAGCCTGCAAACCTTCATCAATATCTTGTTTTATTCGCATCTGACATTTGAAGATAGAGCATGGAGAACAAGGAAAGTACTGTAAATATTGAAGAAGGAGAAGGGAGAAAAAAGAAAGGAAAGTTTGAAGTACATGAGTAAAAACACAGGAGAGGAAAAAAACACAAGGAAGTTTATTATTTGTACAGGAAAACTTTCAAATAAAAGCAGTGTGACAAGAAAAACACATCAAGACAATGTTTAACACAGAAATAAAAGCTGATGTCTAAAACTAGAGACAGAATTTAAAAACACACCAACTAGACTTCCCAATGCTACATATTAAACAACACTGTCCTAATAAAATGAGTTAAAAAAGAAAGCATCTAAAATTTCATGCAAGTATGTTTATCTAATACATCAGAAAAATCTAAAGCCATTCATATATCTTTTCAGTTGGTATCTTTATTTTTAGCATCCCATGTCTAAAAATAGTTTAAACTATCTTAATATCAAATCATGACAACACATGCCTTTTTACCTTCATCTTTTACTTAAATAGTCCAGTAACATCCTCTTTTTTCATAAGTCAGTGATTTGAGAGGATGTGGAAGATTTCATATAAATAACTCGAAATACAGAATAGAGTAGGGGAAATAAAAAAACCCAAAGCATTAAAGCAACAAGCTTTGTATAAACTAAAACCACAAAATAATACTTTCTATTAGACTGTCCACTTCCTTATCTGCATTTCTGGAAATAGCTTTAACTGCAGAGTATAAGGAATGAAGAGTAAAACACACTGGCAATTAAGACCCAACAGTGACCAACGGCTAAGGTCATGCTGATTTCTGCCTTTGACAGAATATTAACCCATTAAACCCAAATAGAATTCTTTGAGAAATCCTAAACAAAGAGCCCTCATCTTTGACCTGTTCACGAGTTTCTAAAATAACTCTGATATTCAAGAAACATTTCCTCAAAGAAACCTAGCTGTTGCAAAAACTTGCTTGACATATTTACTAGAACTTTTATTTATTACGCTTTCAGAAACACAGGTCTACAAATCTGTTATGAGTAAGTAGCAGCACAAAGTCACTTAATTACAGCAAAATTACTTGTATGAAAAAAAATACAGAATATCCTCATAACAAAATAAAACACAATCTCAAACTACAGCAAATTCCAGGAACATTAATAGATACTGCACACAGCACAAAGCTGCTTCAGCAGTTCAAGCACAAATTCCTCAGATACATAGCCTGTATGATCTTAACTCAGGCCACAGTGTCCACATGTAATTACATGATGTAATGAAACAGAGAGGAAAGATGGGAGGGAGTCACAAAATGATAAAGTAAAAGCCAAGAGGTTCATAAAAACCATCAGATTAGGTCTCAGGCAGAGGCAGCAATACTGGCATAGATTCTCTATATGAAATGCAGGACAGAGAGATGAACCAAGAGCAATCGTCTCTATAAACACACTTGAACTGAGTTAGAAAAAGCAGTGAGGCTGGAAAAACAGCTCAGAGGGTAGGCCTGTCTCTGGAGTAACTCCAGAGGGTTGCTGACCTGAACCTGACCTCCTCAAAGCATGGAACAAATGAGATTGCTTTACTTCAAAACAGTTCCATGGCCACATCATAGCACCAGGGCAGAGGAAGCACTCTTCCTGGAGAACATGCCTACTAGCACTACTGGTTTGATAGGAGTGAGCGATGGGCGCCAGCCAAGATGCACACAGGTGGGCTAACACACAAGACTCGTACCACAGTGAGCCAAGCCCAGATCACGTCCCTTGCCGTTCATGTGCCAGAGCTGACAGCAGGGACAACGCCTAATAATCTTACTCCTTTTTAAAAAGGCTTCTCAAATATGTGTGAGTGGAATCTGGAAACACATCAAGTGATTTCACCCAGGGCATCTGGAAACTCAGATAACCAGATTTAGAGGTACCTGAGCTTCTTCCCCTAATACTGGCACAAATGGAAAAATTAGGAATGGGCACTGACAGCCCACTGAACAGCTGATAAGTACTGGTTGAAAAAGGCTACTTACAACTCAACTGATAATGAATGTACTTGTGATGCTGGTGAGTTGGGTGGGATGTTTAAGAAAATTTTAATGCACTAGGGAATCAAGTTTACTGCCATTGCTCATATAAGACTAGAAAATGTAGATGCTCAAAGATAGAAAAGCTTTCATTTACAGATAGGATGGGCTTGGAGATGTTTCACCAAATTTTAACATAAAACAATGAGAAAATGCATATGTTAAGTATAAAGTATTAGCAGTTCTCCTATTTTAAATATAAGAAACAAATGGCTAGAAATGTCAACAATTATTTAGTGCCTGTCATCTTCTGAAAAAAAAAATGGGCTATGAAACAGACCCTGGGAAAATTCTATGGCCTCATAGCTCTGCAGGTTGTGTTTTACATCTAAGACAGAAGCTGAAGTACTGAATTAGTCAGAAGAAACATGTAAAACATCCATCCTACCCAAAAGAATACAATAATTTTCAAGCCTGGAGATAGACTCCTATTACCTATACCCCCATGAAACCCCATACTCCAATCTGTCACCCAGGGCCTGATGAAGAAACAGAAGGAGCAGACTCAGAGACATAAGAAGTAAAAAGCTTCAAATGGATAAATCTGTTGCAGTCCTGCCTCGAATACAAAACCTTAGTTATCAATGCATATCCACCCAATAATGTAAACTGGTCAGACTACAGTTTAGGGAGGGAATTCTTGTTTCCATAAAGGGATCTTCCTTTTCACCTGGTAGAAAACTTCACTGACATTTTATTAGTTAAACATCTTATTTTCTACCATGAAATGTAGATTGAACCAAATAAACTCAATCCTTTCCACACTGACTCTAGACAGATTAATCTAGAGGGGCAAAACAATCTGGGCATTGCCTGGTCTGAGGCTTGCCTCATTCTAACAACTAGTAATAGAAGGCACAACTGGTAAAAGATAAATATAGTGACTGTTAGCCCTGGAAGGGATACTTGCAGATTCACTTTCTGACTGTTTCCCAATTGCTTGTTTTTTCAGCCATGCCTTCAGGCCTCATACCCACTGCACCTGTGGCTGTTCAACAACAAAGCAGACCTTTCACTGGCCACAGCTGATGTCTATCTCCATCTCCATTACAAGCTCCTCATTCCTATCAGTTTTGACTTCAAAATCCTCCTGCCCTACTGATGTTAGCCTTTCCTCTTAGAGTCAGGCTGCCTCCCTTTTCTCCAGGCAATGGGCACACAAGGCAGAGCAGGCAAGTGGGCAGGCAACCTCCTTACCCTCACTTTTGTCATTTAAAAATCACAGCAACCTCCTGTAGGCTCCAGAACTCGGGTTTCAAGGAAACAGTCTACTATGATAGGAAAGGTTCTATTAATCTAAGAAAGGCTAGATGCAGTAAAGACAAATGAAAGGAGCAGACTGGAACATTTCCAGTGGAAATATGCTCTCAACCACGACCTGCTTCTGATCAAACCTGGGAGACCATTTATGGCAAGTGCGTGACACAAAGGCAACCAGCACTGATAAATTTCACATTACTTCAAGATATGTGAAACTCTATTGAGCTGAATTATATAAAGTGAAGAAAATTGGAACAAAACCAGACAACCTCATCTATCTACCTCCTCTTCCCCTCCCACACACATTTATTTCTTACAAAGAAATGACTAGTTATTTGCTGAGGCTCTTACAAAAATTTCTACCTGATTGCAACCAGCATGGAAAATACCAGCCTGAGCTCCTGCAACTTTGCCCCACTTTAAGAAAGTTCAAAATGGTCAGTATTAGGTTTCAATACATGTTCTCCTCAAGTTCCGAGTTTTTTAGTTCTTTGGTAAAAATCTATAGCTTCAATAAAACCATACAGTTCGGCTTCCATATTGATCCTAAAAACAATTCTTAATTTGTGTGTATACCGCTAACTTTTGATTCAGCTCACTGTAATTTTAAGTTTCTAGGTAATGCCAAAGCACCAGTGTCTTACATTGGACACTTTTGGAATGGAAATGAGTTTTAAAGACAAAGTAAGCTTAAAATATGAGTAATTTGTAGTTGCATATGAACATAAACTATGTGCTCAGAAATACTTACACTGATTTTAAAACTCATGTTTCATCAAAAAAAGTAAACCTAACCAAGGAAGAATTGTCTTGTATTTATACATATGCCAGCAAAAAAAGGAAAAAAAAAAAAAAACACCCTCTAACTGTTCTATGCTATATTTTAGACATCGCGATGATTCTTTCTATAGACTAGTGACTAAATACCATATACTTTAAGGAATTCAAAATAAAGTACACACAAATACCAACTTCAAAATGTCAATCTAAAGACAAAATTATGTTTCAGCATAACCATACTAAGTTTAATATATTGTATATAAATATATTTGGAATTGTTAAATACATGAAACATTCTGATATTATATAAAATACCACTCTTGTCTTAAATGAGTATTAAAGAATGAACATTCACTTCTAGCACCTGGTATGGATTGAATTGTAAGAAAAAAGTCTGAAAGTAGAAAGTCTAACAGGAGGAAAATAAAATAAGAGAACACCAGTCTTTTAAGAAAATTGCTTTCTTTTGAAATTCCAAACATTGTAAATCCATAATCTGTATATAAAGGACTCATATTAAACATTCTTCTGTTCAGGAAGCAAAAAAGTCATCTAACCATAAGGTCAGGGTGATCATTCCTAATCTGCAAGTCACAACCTAAGTCCAAAATCTTCAAAACAAATCTTTATACAAGTGTACTGATTAAGTAGACACGTAAACACAGGACCACTCAGACACAAAGCTCAGCACATGCAGAAATATGCTGATTACTAAGATCAAATTGAAAAAAAAAAAAGTTTCAAATGTTTAACATTGCTTGTAAATTCTTATTCTTAACCAGTAATTTTTAGGAAATGGAATAAAGTTAAGGATTATCTCTAGTATTACAAATTCTCATCAGTTCTCAATTCACAGATACATTACACAGATGGACCCGTATTACACAGATGTAGTATACTCAAAATTAAGTACTTTCACAGCCATAATTCTATTAGCCCATCGCTCAAATTCCCACTGAAGCCAATACTGAATTTGAAAATCTTTAAACCTTTCTGAAGAATGCAAATAGGAAAAATGTACTGTCAGATTTTAAATGAATACATGCCTGCATGTGCCACCTTCTTTTTACCAGTATTATATTCTACATAATTTTAGCATACCTACAAATTACAAGGATGCGTTGCTGGTGGACAACAAATAAACACCATATCAAAAACAAATGACATGCAGAAATACAGTTTATTTCCTTTTCACAATACATTTTCCTGATCTTTTTCCATTAAGGAAGGCAGCCAAGCAAAGCTTGCATGTGTTCAAACTCACCACAAAATTCTCTTGAGAGTGAAACTTCTTTGTCTTCGATTTCTTGCTGTCTGTTAAACCAGCATGACGTCTGAAGATTTCCTCAAATCGGACTTTGGTTTTTGCCTTTGCCTCACTTTCAACTGCAAACAGAAACGTAGAGTATGATTCGCTAGCTCAGTAATCACCATTGCTAGAAAAAGTGCATAATCATGCTTTAAAATTGCAAAGGGCAAGAATTGTTTTATCAGGGAAAGTTGACCAAGAAATTCGCTTAGTATTCAGGTAAGATTTTCCACTGACAATGTACACCACACAAGGATAACCATGAAACAAACACACCCCACTATTAGTTGTTGCTGAAGTTAGTACCATCTACTCTGTTTCCTGAAGAACACATTTTGAAGAGCACACACATCAGGATCAGCTCAAAACTTGGGCTAGCCAAAGCAGAGGTCAGATTATTGCCCTTGCTGTTTATGAACAGTAGCACACTGATAACGGAGGTGACGCACTGTCTCCAGGAGAACCATCAGCTCTGGGTTCTTACTGAGTCTGGAACCCAGAGGATCACCACCCCGAGACAGATCTGTAAGAGGCAGGAGCATGCACAGATCCAAAATCAGCTGGAGCTGAGCATCCCTGCCATTCTGTGAATCACGATACTGCTATGAGCAGCATTTCAACCCTTGAAACAGTATGTGTTGTGGCCCCCATGAGGTAATGCCTAATTTGTAGATGAAAAATTAAAATTACAATCTGGCACACCACTGCAAAAGGCTGTTGAATCCTCAGCTATGTTATTTTTACCACTCTCATTACAATTTTTACCAAAGACCCCAAATTTAAAATAAAGAAAAAAACAAAACCCAAACCCAACACTTTGAAAATCAGTTATAAACATGGACTTAAAACTGAGCCAATACAGCATTAAAAATTTATAGACAGAAGTAACTCTTATCATTTGCATCTAGTTGCAACTATAAAATATGTATTGGAAATCAAACACGAAGTATTCTTACCTGCTGGCATTTTCAGTCCTCAGTTAGAAGTGGCTCAACACACCAGCTGCTTCTTCCTCTGAACTCACCATTCTATTTAAAGCAATTAACAGCTTTCATTAACATAACTGGTCTATGAACTTGAAGTTAACAATTGCATGTATGCTAATTAATATCAAGGACGAGTACAGAACTTTTAGGGAAATATTTATTTCTAGACTATTTGTCTAAAGTATTATAAGTTCTCTGCCATCAAATCTCAGTTCAGTATTCTCATCGTCCATCTGATACTTGTTATTTGAAAGGAAAGAAAACCCAACACTACAGCAGTTTAATTAGCTATATATTTCTGGGCAATAGCCAAATATTTCAGTACTGCAGGCCTCCAGTCTTCTGAAAAAACCTACAGTCTTATTTAAGTAACAATGACCCACGAAGCCATTTATATTGAAGCCTTTCTAATCAGGTTCCTATTGTGACAGCACCATCAAGGAATTCACTGTATAGCCAGCTCATAGCTTTCAATGCAAAGATTACTATCTGCTAGCAAGTCTAACTTTACTACAAATCTCTAAATATTTACATTTACAGAAAGCATTTGTATTTTACATAAAGCAGACAAGCAATTACACAAAACTCATTTCTCTAAAGAAAAAAATGTTAGGCCCTCCTGGTTGCAGAGAAAAGCCTACAAATGCAGTCCAAACAAAGCTTGGAGGCAAATAAAAATATCACACATCTGTATCTTTTCATCAAGAAAATTCAGAATGTTTTACAACAAACTTTAATACAAAAAGCTCTTTTATAAACACTGAAACTAACGAAACCCAGCTTTCTATGAATGTGTTATGTTTCCCTTAGCCTTCCAAGCAATAAACCAACGGCCTTATCTCACCGACAGCCCATCAAGGCAACAGCTCCAAGTTTAATGGCATTAAAGCGGGCCAAATATATCACTTGGCCTCAACACCAAAACCACTCCTGAGAACACACATCTTACCAGTACAGGAAAGAGCCAAGGCTACACTTCTATCACCAAGTATCTGCCCTACTATACTCTCAGATCCCTCTCATCTCATCTCTCCTGAACAGTGTTACTTGCTTCTTCTCTGTCCCCTGCAGGCTATGTACTTTCACATCATTTCACATCTGTTACTTACAGTAGTTTGGTCTGCTGGCTAGCCAAACCAAAACAAATATAAGAAAAAAAAAAAAAAAAAGGCAAAGTATTAGGGTTGGTTTGGGATTATAGAAATGCCGATTAGTCAATGCCCAGGTATCATTAGTTTACTTCATGTACTAAGCAAAGAATTTATACAAAGTGTCCAGCTATCTAAGGATGTTTGAAATGAGCAAGAATGATGAGAAGGGACTTCATTGGAAGAAAAGAATGTTTTGTCTGTAATATGCTTCATTGTGTCACTGACAAAGTATCAATATTTTCACTAATTAAAATACATTTTGACTTGCAAAGCAAAGCTTTACTGTCACAACTAAAATAGTAACAGTTAAAAATAACACTTCTTATAAGAAATGAAAACGGAAAATATTATTGAAAAATAAATCTGCTTTTGCAATTTATACTTAGCTATACTAAAAGGCCGTTTAAAAAACACTGCAGTTATTAAGTGCCACTTTTCAAGTAGTCGATTCTCAATTGGCTAGAAAATACTTATAATCTGAAAGAGCAGGAAACTAAATATAAAGTACAGCAGATTTTATCACTTTATTCATTCACTGAGGACTACAGGAGCATGGAAAAGTCTCTTACCATTAGTTGAGTGATTTCAACCACCCCTCAGAAAAATTAATTGCAAACAATAAATTAAATGCTGAAGTGCTCTTAAATTTAAAACAAAAAATATAAGAGACAATATGGAACACAGCAGCAAGAAAAGTAAAGTGCACACCTGTTCCAAGCATTGAAATAATTTTATGGTCAAAGGTTAAATAAATCACACCACAAAAAAAAAGTATAGGTAAATTAATTTCGCGGATACTTTTGCTTATAATGGAACAAACACCTTCCCAAGGGCTAGGCTCACCTCATGTCTTACCAGCACTCTGTAAAACGCATTGATTTGCCAAACTCATCAGTGAGTGCATCATTTTCTATTTACCTCTATTTATTCAGTAAAAGTGTATCCTCTTATGGCAGTAAAATTAAGAGATAAAGTCCTCTAATGACAGCGCTATTAATTTACACACACTTCCAATTTAGAATTACATGACCTTTGACACAGTGCATTAGAGCAACAACTAGACTTGTGTAAATACAGATCATTAATCAACAAGAACGAGGCTGTTTACGCAGTGTAATCTCACCTTAAAATAGAAGACATTTAACTTTATATCAAAGTTCAGATTGGGGCACTGGGGTTGCTGAATAAACTCAGTTATCATTGATTAATCTTGTAAAATGCATTTTTGCCTGATCAGATTTGATCTCTTCCATCTTAATGTAAAGCAATCCAGGAATGACAAAATACATACTTGGAACAGTGGCCTATTCCAGCCATCAGGAATAACCTGGGAAACAAAATCATGAAGCCCAAGCTTCCAAGAATTACCATATACCTTCCTGAAAATAATCTAATTTTCTCTTCTCTAATATTCCACCTGTATTTATAAATATGGTTCTACATCAAACTCTTGCTCTTTTTGCAATATTTTACAATACTGAGTTGCTATATTCTGCATCCGTAATAGTGGAATTCTACATGCAAAACATGCCACCAACCCCACTATTCAAGAAAAACACTTTTATTGATCACTAAAAAAAATAATTAAAATCACACCTATACTATAATGGAGCAGAGCATACAGAATCTGTACTACACAGTGGGAAGTGACAAATTTCTTACCTAATTAGGACCATTTAGAAAACTGAGTTGACAAAATATAATTGCACACTTCATGGTTTTCATGAACTAAATCCCTAATTTTTGTTTTATCACAAAAACTGAATGTAATCTTCAGTGGCTGAAAACAAGTAGGACACCAAGCCTTGTTTACTTCTCATTTTTTAGATGAGATCAGTCATCACAGTGGGAAATCTTGACTTTTACTGGTAGGTTTCTAATTCAGTTATCTGTAGGTACCACTATTTTGAGATCTGAAAAAGCTTTCATTCAGAATTATACATCAAAATAACAGAGTCGAATCTGTTCCTCTTCACTGATAAATGTGACATCAAGGAAATGGTTTATATTAATGAAAATTCAGTATTTAAGGCCAGAAAACCGATACCTTTATTACTACCTTGTAAATACCTATGTACTTGCATATCCAATAAACACTACTAAAAGTGCAGTAACTCTGTACCAGTTTAGATGTGCCTGTAAAAACCCTGTGTTCACAGTACTGTAGAATGATGGTTAAAAAAAGCTGGTGTTACCCGAGTTTTCTAATAATGTGTCAGAAAGCTTTAGCTTCAAAGTAGCTTCGTTTTGTTTTGTTTTGTTTTGTTTTTTTTCCTAGATCTGGCACCTTTCACTGGAAGGTTAAAACAGTCTCTGTCTGCCCGGACGGTAAAACTGTGGATTTCAGTTCTCTATAAGGAAATACAGCTGACTTTTGTTTACTACATTTTAAGTCTCTGCCTTATCTTAGACCGTAATTATGAAAATGGGTTCTCATCAAGAGACCACTCTAAGTATTTTCATTTCCAAAGGGGCATTTCGCTTTGCATAGAGGAATAATGGCAAACAACAGAGATGCAAAGGCACATTCCCAGCCCACGCCACAACCGGATGGGATTAATTGTATGGGATTAATCGTATTTAATGTGCTGACGCCCATCCCCCGTGCGAGGGACGCATCTCTGCTGTGGGGTTTAACACGCCAGGCAGGAGCAGCACCGGCTCTCCCTGTGCCGCGGGGCAGCCACTGACCGGGAAATCTCATCGCCCGAGAAACTACAGAGCTTGAACCGGGGAGGCGGGGGGGCGGGTAGGGGGGAAAAGGCTAATCAAGGGATTACGGCCTCACGCTGCACCAGCGGTCAACGGGGGCGCCGGCCCCTCCGGGCCGCCTGCTCCGCTTGCCCCCACGCCAGCCCCCGGGGCTACTCTGAGCAACCGAAGCCCCAACTCCCGCTCTCTCCCCACCGGAGACGCGCCGAGGCCGCCCCCCGCGCACCGCGGGCCCGGGGCAGGGCCGGGCCTCGCACCGGGCGCCTAACGGCCGGACCGCACCGCCCTCCGTCACGGCTGCCGTGCCCCGAGCCGAGCCCCCCACCCTGGGCGGGGGAGGGCACAGCGGCGGGGAGGCGTGCCCCTGACTACCCGCCGCGGGAGCCGCGCAATCGGGACGAGCGGCAGTGGCGGCGGGGGGGCCCGGCGGAACCCCGGCTGTACGCGGACTCCCCGCCCGAGGCGGCGCGGCCCGGCCCGGTCCCGGTCCCCTCCTCCCCGCCCCGGCCCGCAGCGCGAGGCCATCACTCACGTAGGCCCCGTCTGCTCCGGTGGCGCCGCCTCCCCCCCGCCAGTGGTCTCGCCCGCGCCCCCGCGCTCCCCCCCCTCTGCAGCTCCGCACAGATGGTTTTGCCGAAAACAACCGCGGCTGCCAAGGAAACCGCGCGCTCGGCGCATGCGCGCTGGCGAGCGGGTGGAGGGGGCGAAGAAGCTGCCAGTTTTTCGGCCGCGCACCCCGCGCGCGCCTTCCCGCCGGAAAGCCGCGGCGGCCGGGCGGGCGCGTGCGCAGAGTGGGGCCGAGGGTGGCGGCGGCGGCGGCGGCTGCAGCCGGCCGTGTGCGCAGGCGCGGCCCGGCTTCACCGCCCGCTGGCGCTCTGCCCCCCCTCGGCCTCGGCGCGCTGAGGCGGCGGGAGCCGGGCCGGGGCCGGGGCCGGGGCCGGGGCCGGGCATCTGCCGGGCTGGTGGCGCCGCTTCCCGGCGGGGCGGGCCCGGGACGCGGCAGCGCTTCCCGCCGCCCTGCCCGCCACGGGACGCGGGCAGGCGGTGGCTGGCGGGGCGGGAGCCGCGGAGCAGCTCCGCCGAGTTGCCGTCCCCGCAGAGAGGGTTGCCTGGCACGGAAAGGGGCGCGATGCCTCCGCCTCCCCCCGCTGCCCTTGGGGCCGCGCCTGGGGAGCAGGAGGGGCCCGCTGGTGTAAAAGAGGTGTGCGCGTTGCGAAGGTGTCGTTGGTAGGCGAGGGGAACGCGTTTTACAAAACCGAAAAATCTCAGTGATTGGCATAGCAGAACCTCCCCTTGTGCTCCGGGTCTGTTTGTAGTGTTGTTTCCCTCAGGGGTGGTGAGCTGATTACAAAACGTTTACTGAAAACATGACATTGGAATTTAGAAAAAAAAAAAAAAAAAAAAAACAACCTGAAAAGCTTTAGAATCAGAGGAGTCCTTCAGGGATACTTTATCGTACATTTTAAAAAAATGCCGAAAGTACACAACAGCTCTCTTGTGTTCAGACTAACAAAATTGCTTGCAGAAGAATAAAGCCTGGGTAATGGCCTCTATTGGAGTCATAGTGGGGGGGTGTCTATCAAATGTTTGGAACAGACATCAGCTTTTTGTAAATGGCAGCACAAATGGATGACTTGAAACTATATAGATGCTGCAGAAACTTTGGTTTCCTGTCTGGTGTAGCAGCTAATTTAAGCGTGCTTTTTTTTCTGTAGGAATAACTCATCATTACTGTCACGGGAGAACTATTTGTTAATTTCTTCTGTGTAAAAATGAATAACAATTGTCAATGTCAAAGTTCCTTCAAACGAAGGCTCAAGAGATGAATGCAGGTTTTGGATGAACGTGGCCATATCTTGCCAGAAGCGAAGTTGGGTAAAATTAGCCTTCGTTTGACTGTGCTCTTTGTACAACCTAGAGGTGAGCTAGTGCTTGTGATACTGTGATCATGACATGGTTCCCAAGTGTAGTGTCTCTCAAATTCTATCAAGGGTTACACCTGCTGCCAGAGGAATATAATTTCTGAAACCTTGTTTCCTTGTTTCTCAAGTATTACTAGTGACAGATGCTATTATCTCTTTCTGGTACTTAATCAGTCTTCCGCTTTCTCAGATGCTTACACACACTCAACCGGTAGGTAGGAATATTTCTTTTTTCATAAAGCATGTGTCCTGGATTGCCTTGCTGTAACACAACTAAACAAAAAAAACACAGCTCTTCAGAGTTTGATACTTTTTATCCTTATTGTATCTCTGTCCTTGGTAGTCCCCAAAACTTGATTAAATAATGGCCTTGAACAACCTGATCACACTTTGAAGTTGGCTTTGCACTGAACTGGACATTGGACCACATAACCAGAAGTCCAGATGTCCCTTTCTTAGTTGTATGATTATGACATTATTTATTATATTTATACTTCATTATGTAACAGTTCTAGTGCTGTTACAATAGCCAAGGTACTTAAAATGGTCTCAGTGCTAGTCATAAGGTAGAAGACCTAGTCAAAGGCCACCTTTATTTTAGTGTTGTGGGTCCAAGTTGCAGCAAAGGATTGATGCTTTATCCAAATTTTCAGTATAGGTAGGACAACTATAATGAATTCTGACCTGATTGTGAACAGGGACACCATTTCTGATGATAGCATGCTCTGTGTCGGTAGCCTAGCGGGGTTCGGGAAAAACCCATAGTTTTTTTGCAGGCTGTAACTATTCCAAATTCTAGCCCTAACTTTTAATGTAGAGGAAACGACAGAATGGTTTCCCAAGAGAATACTAGTTTATGATTATTGTGATATGTTATCTCTGTTTGACTAGCCTTACGTTATCTCCATGAGTTGTTTATGATGCAGCAGAAAAGCTACCTCCAGTATATTCCTTTGTAAATGCCAATACTAATTCTAACAACTCCAGTCAAGAAATGGATAGGTCCCTGCCTAGCTTGCCAGCTGTGATCTGACAGATCATACTGAAAACTAGACATTTTCATGAGAATCCATTATAGGACAGTGACTGGTGAAGACAGAGTCCCAAAAGCTTTCCATGTACCATCTTGCCCAGTAGCCTGAGAGCTGCCTTGTACTGTTTCGCAGTTACCTGATTTAATGCTGCATAAGCATTGACCTCCACAATAAACATGAGCCAGTGTATTATGCACATACACAGACATTCCAGCTCAGTCTGCAGTGCCATCTCAACGAAGTCATCATCCTGGTTATCTGAGATGTCTCTCTGCAGGGGACTTTTTTATAACTCAGCATGTTTAGTCCTCTAAGAGAGTCATTGTCATATCAGGAATTAAAAAAAACAAATCACACTGCTAGGGAGGGGGCTGTAGTGACAGGGTTTGAGGGTGTATAGTGGTGCATCTGCCATAGAATAGAATCAGTTGCTTACAGATGAGGGAAGAGCCTAGATTCAGATTTAGGCTTTTGGAGAATGAGGGCTGAAATCCTTTGGAGAATAAGATGCAGGTAAATGAAGCAAGAGGAATTTGAGGCAGGATTTTCGGATGCCAAGAGTCACTTGTTTTTGTTGATGTTGTGGTTAGTGTACAGTTGATATGGAAGGGACTGCAAAACTAATGGTATTGCTGGACCCTCTGTGCCAGTAATTTAGGAAGAAGGCTTTCTGGGGGAGACTCATGGCTAATTAAATGGGAGATGGAGTTCCCTTTGCTGTATTGAAGCCTTTAGGTTATGATTAAAGTTCTTCTAATAGTTGGGACAGCAGGAACTGTAGAACTTGTTGCTGATATGGCAAACCAACAGGCGTGTGAGAAGTGAGGCAGGCTGAAATGAAAAGAGATTAATCTTTTATGGTACATTTTGAACAGTGCTGTGAGTTTTGAAATTATGCTTCCTGTGAGGATTAGGATTGAGGTTAAATGAAAACCTTCTGTGGCTCACAGGACTGAGATGTGGGTGGGTACCCACTGTATAAAATCCCAGGGTACACAGGGCTGTAATTCTAAGAAGGGCAAGTGTTGAGGCTATTGCCAGATAGCTTTTCTGACAGCAGGACTGAATAAAGATCTTACTTTTCAAATCTGTTAAAGGGGAAGATCATGCAAGACCCCCAGGGCTTGGATGAAAGCTGAGCCTGGCAGAGTGAGTGACATATGGCAGCTGGGAGGCTCAGGCATGGTTAATTCAAAACCAGTCATTTTTAATCATTGGCATTGAAAACAGATTTGATATTGATTAAAATTTGACCTATCAGCAGCAGTAGTAGGCTACAAGCCCTTCAAAATAAACCTGGCACTAGAGATCAAAGAATTTTCCTATTACTAGTACAAACTTGTGTCAAGTTTCAGGAATACTTGTTTTATGAGAATGTCTTAAAGACTTCTGTGGCCGTTATACCTATGAAAGACCTGAGGTGTTTTTGCATCCTGAGTTCTACAAGCAAGTAGTGTTCAGGCCTGTTTTCCATGCTGGAGGAGAATTCCATCTCACCTCTTCAGCTGACTTTTTGGATTTTTGGGGTGAATAGGTGGAAGGAAACACTGCAGCTCTTAGTCATAAAGAATTGATTGATAAAACCAAGAATATAGCTCTGTGTTATATTTGGTACCTTCCACCTGCAATAGTTAAAAATCGCTATTCTGGAGTTAAGAATATTCCAGATACAGAGCTATTGTAAGCTAGGATTTGGCATGCTAATCTAAAGACAACTTTTTTTTTCCACACACACCCCCCCACCCCAGGTTTCTTCCTATGAGGTCCTATGTCTTAGAGTTCTTCCTGTGTACTTTGCATAGTGCATAATATGATCTGCTGATATCAAGCAATTCTTGAGGTTAGTAATCACACTTGCACTACAGCTAAAAATGTTGCAATATATTTTCCAGTGTCAGTGTCACGAATATCCTTTGTTCCATTTCCCAGCAGAGAAATTTTTTTTTAAAGATTTAGATTTCACATGTTATTGCAAAGGCAATGGAAGTCAGGAGCAGCATCTAATAAATCCAGCCTGGGAACTTTGACAGCCCCCAAAATAATAGGATAAGTTTTGTCTGTACTTTGATGGCCTATGGAACAGCGCAAAGAAAAGAAAGCATATTCCCATTACTTACCTTATATTTGCTACATGTAGGAAGTACAAAGGGACATGCACAATGATAACATATTGTAGTGTACAGGTAGTAAGTTTTTAGATATCAGAAGTATTCTGAAAAGCTCACAGGAATGCCAGAATGATGAATGGGTCAAGATTCTTGTCAGAGCCTAACTTTCAACAAAAGGGTAAAATCTATCACTTGCAGGGGACAACCTATAGGTGTCACTTGAGTGTATAAAATAGAAACATCATTTGGTGTTGAGCAACTCGGACAGCTCTGAAGATGCAGTGATATTCTGGCAGAAGTTAATAGCTTTACTGATCAGTGGCTTATTTTCATAGTCAAATATAATTCAGTTTATGTTATTGGGTATTATGAGCAAATGATCTGATTGACATAAATTAAAGCTTGAGTAATTTATGGGGCAACTCGTAGAAGAAATTTAATTATATTAATAAGAAAAATGTCACAAAAATTAGTTTAAATTCAATCACCAACTTTTTAATAAATTTAGAGATCAATTGTGCAAGTTGCTCTGCATTCTGAGAT